GGGGAGATGCCTGCCGAAATTTCGGTTTAGAAAATAATTTAAATTATAGAACATTAAATTAACTTATAGAGATTTTAAAATTATTTATAGAAATTTAAAAAATATAGATTAAGATTATTAGAGTGATAAATTAAATAAGGAAACCCAATAATCTGTATCTATAATATATATAATTATAGTTTACAAATAATAATGAATTTAAAATGAACTTGCCAAAAAACTAGTAAACGAATATAAAAAATAGAATCTTCAAATTTTAAAAATTCTTACTTTTAGAATTTCTATTGTTTATTATAGAGGTTTATAAAAATTTCGAAATTGCGAGGACGGAAAGGCTGGAAGGCATGGAGTGATAAAGACAGTCCTTTAAAAGGACATAAAATGAAATGTGATAAGTGTTAGATAAAATTTCAAGCTTTCATCCGCCTGCATTTGCTTGCATTCACGGCTAAATGTTATTCATGCATTATTTTTATTGAAGTGGCCATAATTTATGATGCACTATCTTGTTGATAGTAAAAAATTGTTTGGATTACTTGTGCTTATGAATATACTGTTTGCCTTGTTCTGTGTGGGAATTGGGATTGAAGTGGACCACCATTGGGTTTTGTGGGGACGGTTCTGTGATTATGGGACCTGGAATATTGATATGATATTGGGACCGTCGGCCGGGGAAAATGGGGAAGATTTCGGCGCCCCCGTGTGGCACCTGATGATATGGATTTGTATGGGGAAAACCACATGGATGGCTTCTGTGTTGTTGCGCACCTGATAATCTAGATTTGATTTGTAAGCCGCAGGGTGGCCCTTCCTGTTGGTTGAGCACTTGATGATCTAGATTGGATGGAGGACCACCGGGGGTTTGCCTCCTGTTGGGTATGGGAAAAGAAAAAGAGAGAAATAGAAAAACAATGAGAGGACTGGTCAGTTGAGGGATTAGGACCAAGTTTTGGCCGTAGGGGGATCGGCTCCCCGGTTGCACATGTATTGGAGGGAGGGCGAGCCATGTGTGGAGGCGGGCTCGTTGGGGTTTTCAGGTGGTTGCCACTGGGACTAATTTCCACGTTGATGTGATTATATGAAAGGTGATGATACTTGTGGATTTGCTGCTTTGTATTGGCCATTGTGTGGCAAACTGCATGATCATATAATTAAACGGTAAACTTAGATAAAAAATATTTAGCTTAAAATATTTTAGCATCTGTGTGACTGTGTGGGGTGAGAGGGTTATCTAACCCTACTCATTGAGTTTGGCGCTCACCCCTGCCTACTTTTTTTTTTCCAGGTAATAGAAAGAAAGGAAAGCCCTATGGAGTTGAAATACTTATTATAGAAGACTTTTAATGATAGAAATAACGATGTGAATGTAAAGGTAGAGTTCCGCAATTGTATTCCAGTTGGTTTGTAAATAAATAATAAAAGTCCATATTACATATATGAACTGTATTTTGAATGCATATGTATAATAAGTAATGGGCCTGAATCCATAATTATGAATAGAATGTAAGATTTAAATAAGTTAGGCTTACTACGGGCTTTGGGGGCCTTAAGCCCACCCAAATCCTAGTGCCGGTCCGGCCACGGAAATGGTTCGTGACATTACTGACTTAAGAGCCGCTCTTTTCTCTCCCTTCTCCATCCATGTCTTACAGATTTCTATATCGGTGTATTATGGATAAATTTTTATGAATATATCACCTGTAAATGCTAGCTAAAATGCCAAGCAAGAGTTGATCGAGACTTTTCTATGTATTTTAGGTTAAAATCTATTGCATTTTGGCAGAAATAACAAGTTAATTAAGAAGAGGCTTCTAAGTTAAAAGAAAAGAATTGCCTACTCCCTAGTGTATATCCACTCACATTCTAAATCAATCAAAAAGATGTTTTTGACTGTAATGAGTTATTTCTGTCTATTCACTAAGAAAAATATAAAACAACAATAAATTAAAGAAAAACCTTTATTTTTTTAGAAGAAAGAAAATATCTATTAATTGATTTGTCGTACGAAATTATCTCATAGTGTAAGTATAGGCAAATTTTATCATATAAATTATAGGTCAAAACGATGAGATATTTTAAGGATACAACATCTCCTTTTGAAATTCACCACTTGGAAAAAATGAGATTCCCTCCCAAATTTCATTAATATGAAAATCTTTTTGTCTCTAATATGAATTTTTTTTATTATTTAAATATTTTTTATCGAAACCATTTTAATGATTCTTAACAAAATATAAATTACATTGGGAAGTTTTTAAAGAGATGTAATTATTTTCTTTGATTTTTTCATTTAGTTGAAAGTCGCGTTGGAAGACAATTTTTTAATTATTTTTTAACGTTTTGATTTATCAAAACATTAAAAAAAATATTTTTTATAGTATTCAATAATAATTTAATAATTTATTATTATTTGTTATTATAGTTTATAATTTAGCTTCAATATTATTATTTTAAATAATATATGTAAATATGAGGCATTTGAAAATTTTTACATTTTTTTTGAATTTAAAATTTTTACATTTTTTTTGAATTTATTTGAAAAAAATATATCAAGATTTTTGATTCCAAATTTTGATTTAAAAAAGAATATAATTAAATTTCTTTTAATTACAGATATATACTCTAATTTGAATTGGCCAAAGAATTAAGACCAAAAAGAATTAATTATTTTTTAAACATTGCTCAAATTTTTATTAATTTTATATTGATTCTTAATAATTTTCCAAATCTATTTCTATTAAAGAATATAATTTTATTTAATTAATTTTTAAAATGCTTTTCATGATTTTAATTCGGCTTAAAAAAATAAAAATAAAAATAAAATTATTATTTATTTATAAAATATTTTAATTTTAATTTTATTAAATTGATTTCTTATTCTATTCCTTAAAGTATATTTCTTTGCTACAAAAGATTATAATGAAAAAGTTATTAATAAAAAACATGCAAAGTAATTATAAAAAACTTATAATAGAAGGTTATATGATGATTTTTTATAAATCAATTTTGATTTTTCTTTTTTTAAAAAAAGAAAATGAAAATAACTAACGGTATAATAAAAAACTATATTGAATTAAACCGTTAATATATTAAACCGAAAAAACCAAAATTAATGTATTCTATGAAGTTTTAATATATTTTTAACGACTTTCCATCTAAATCAATAATTTATATTTTTAATATATATAAATAAAAAATAAAAACGAATAATAAAAATAGCATATAATGAGCATAGTCAAATTTATTATTATTTATAAATATTTAATTTAATTTATTAAATTGATTTCTTATTCTATTCTTAAAGTATATTTCTTTGCTACAAAAGATTATAATGAAAAGTTATTAATAAAACATGCAAAGTAATTATAAAACTTATAATAGAAGTTATATGATGATTTTTATAAATCAATTTGATTTTTCTTTTAAAAAGAAAATGAAAATAACTAACGTATAATAAAAACTATATGAATTAACACGTTAATATATAACCGAAAAAACAAATTAATGTATCTATGAAGTTTAATATATTTTAACGACTCCATCTAAATAATAATTTATATTTTAATATTATATAAATAAAAAATAAAAAACGAATATAAAAATAAGCATATAATGAGCATAGTCAACGTACAACCCACGTCATAACTGATTAACACTCTCATTTTTTTTAAAACAAAATTTTTTTTTATTTGTAAAATTGTAAAAAGCCTTTAATAAGTAAAGTTCAACCTTTAACACCATCACCAACAATCTCTAGCCTAATTTCTTTCCTGGTCAGACCGAATAATTAAATCTTTGGAATGGGCCCAAGGGAATTATAACTGCACTTCATACAACAAATTCAATTTATAACTTTTGAGCTTTGACATATTGTATTTGTATTGAGAATTTATTTTTACATTTTTTGTTTATTTGTCGAGTACTTACTAAAATGATATTTCTCCCAATTTTTTTTTTTTAGTTAGATTTTATTCCAACTTAACCGTGAATTAATGATTTTAATTTTTATATTTATTTTAAATTCATTTAAAATTTATTTCTAACTATTCATAATTATAAATCAAATTAAAGCGATTCTAATAATATTAATACTTCAACTCATCCCATTGTGCTTTATTTTAATATTTTAATATATATATTTAATTAATAATTTAATAAAATTATTAGTTTAAAAATTTAATTAATAATTTTATTTTTATTTATTAAAATTCTTATAAAATATTTTTTAACTTAAGTAAGTAATGTTGCATTTATTTTTTTGCAATTTATTTATTAAAGGTATAAATAAATTTGGAGAAATATATAAATTTACATTTTTTTACTATTTGTTTGTGTTACATTCAATTTTTTATTTTGATCGATCGAACACTCAATTTTTAAAATTATCTTTAATAAATATTTTAATCTGTAAAATCATTATATTGAAAGCTAAAATCATAAAATTAGATCAATGAAATATTTATTAGAAAGTAAAAAAATATAAAAATTATTTTCTTGAAAGGATATAGAAATTATTGTTTAAAAAATCAGAATAATTGTTTAAAATTTGCATATAAAAGCTAAAAAATCCTAAAAGATATTACTATTGGTATTAAAGCTAAAAAATCCTAAAAAATCCTAAAAATTAGAATGCAAATGCAAGTCTTGCGTAAAGTATTAAAGCTTGTAGGAAATAATTGCAATTACAAGCAAGAAAGTAGGCTTTTAATTAATTGTCCACTATTGGTAAATATAAGAAAAATTATTAATACATAGTAATTATTATAAATTTTGGGACTGTGAGTAATCATGCGGGGGTGGACTAAAGTAACAATCGAACATGAGGATGGAAGTTGTTGACTGGATCCGAGCTGGCAGTTTAGGTGGGCCCCACTTATGAGGCCTGTGTTTGACTCCCGAAACGGTGTTCCTTTTCTACCTTTCCGTTTGCATGCTTTGACTAGGGCCCAGTCTGCTTAACCCACTGCACCACTGCACGCCAGCTTCTCTCACTCAATAAAGCTATATCAGAAATAATCCCTCAAGTCCATTTTCAAAAAAAGTACACAAAAAGTTTGGCATTTACAGAGAGATTTTCAAGAATCTCCTCCCCTCTTGTGATCCTATCTGCTTTGCTCTTTTTTTGACACCAGACCAGCTTTTCGAAACTACCCATTTCGTTTTAGTCCCTGTTAGTGATAGCTCTGTTGGGAAATTTAGGAGTAAAGTTTTAGTTTCTTGCTTTAAATGAGCTACCAAGATAGGGTTTCTGGTGATGTGGGTTTTTATGGGTGATACTTTTGTCAAGATTGATGGAAAGAAAAACTGGGTTTTGGCTTCTTCTGTGGATGGTCCTGGTGGTGCCCCCTTTTTCAAGGATCTCTGCCAATATGGAAGGTTCTTTGTTTTTTCCTATTTTGATTTCTGGGTTTTTCTCTGAGTATTATTTTTATTTTAAATGGGTTTGTACTGAAGCGTGTGGAATTATGAATTTTAGTTTTTAGTTTCTTTGATGGTGACTGCTACATAGGGTTATGCTTTTGATTTTATATATCTTTCCACGTATTTGCTTAGGGTTCATTGCAATGTTTTATTGCTTTATTTTGTTTGTGACTGATTTTGTGTCTGTTTACTATATTTTCTCTGACAATGACTGGTGCACATGGTTAATTTAGCTTTCATGATTTAATGTGTTCATTTGTTATTGATAAAATTGTCATTTTCTAATGCTAGCAGAGAGATTGTGTTAACTATTTTGATTTAGATTAGTATTCTTTTCTTTTTCTTTTTTGTCTCATCAAAGGATGCAGTTTGTTTTTAAGCAGGAAATGCTTACAATGAGAAGCACTTAAAGATGTTGACTTATTTTCTCTATACATCATTGGTGCTTCAATTACTCACTATAATTCAGAAATTTTACATATCAAGTGCTGTTTCCTCTTTGTACTTTTACACTCATAAGTTGTGAGTTTTATTTGCGATGAGCATATTGGTTTATTTGTAAATGGAGATTCTAGTGAGATTAGACTGTAGTATGATCAGGCAAGTATTTTCTTCACCATTCAGTCACCTTTTTAAAGATCTGAATTTGCTGAAAGAGACACTCATCCTATCTTTTTGGGGATAACCATCTTTTAAACAACATTTTCTGTGAAATAATATTTAGATAGTGGTAAACTACAGTCCATTAGTCCCCCCAAAGTATAGTTGGATTAAAGTTTCTCTATAGAGCTCACTGCTTGATGAAAGTGATGTAGTCATAAGCAATTACTTGAATTCAGTATCATTTCAACAAAAATTTTGAATTTTGTTGCAACTTTCTGAACTGAAAACACAGTAGTGTTTTCAACTTTATCCCCATTGCTAATCTGCTTGTTGATACCTTGTCCCTTTTTTTTGATCTACATGTTTCAGTTTGTGATTGATGATGTCTGCTTTTGGAACCAGGTGATGCATTGCATAACCTCCGAGCAAATTTACAGGATCCTAACAACGTCCTGCAGAGCTGGGACCCTACCCTTGTTAATCCCTGTACATGGTTTCATGTTACATGTAATAATGAAAATAGTGTTATTAGAGTGTAAGCAACTTAATTCATTAAAAGATTTGTTCAGACTTTAAAGTCCTATAATCTTTCATGAAATATGTTGAAGTACAATTTCTTATATCTTGCAGTGACCTTGGAAATGCAGCACTATCTGGCCAATTGGTTCCACAGCTTGGCCAGCTTAAGAATTTACAATACTTGTAAGTCATCTTTAACAATATATATTTTATCTGCTCACCTGGATATCATATCTCTATAACATTGTCAAAGTCTCCTCTTTCTATATTCTTTTTGCATCTATCTATTGCTTTCTGTGTGTTTATCATTGATAATTTGCTGTTTACTGTTTTATTGGTTCATAATAATCTGACTTTGCTGTTTTATTGGCAACTGTAGCTATCAATCAAACCTTCTGAAATATTTGAGTTGGCATTGCATGGCAATGAGATAGATTCTATAATATAAACAATGAAGTTGTTAAGTTTATCAATACAATAAGGATGGCAGAAAATCATGAATAAGTGGAGTTTTCAAGTCAAAACAGATTTTGTTAGTTATATATCTGATGTAGAGTTTAGAGTTGCTAAGTGGACAATCTTGCAAACTTTGCAGCCTAAAGGTAGCTTAATAAAAAATCAACAATAATTGATTGATAAGTAACAATAATTTTTATCATGAATTTTAATTTTTAAAAATGTTGCTATTCTTTAGAGGAAACTGATCTTCTAAATGGCATGAAGTATTGTTTATTGTATCTTGTGTATATTCTGAGGTCTTTGGTAGTACAACAATTATTGCATAATTTTGACTATTATTAAACATATGAAAGAATAAAATCCATGAAATTGTCAACTCAGTTCATGTGGGCTTACTCATGATGACAGGCTATAAGTGTTGAACTTTTGATGGTTACCCATTTGCTTTACGACTTTTCTACCCTTTCTTTTGTATGATTATAGATTAGGTATAAGATCTTATTCTTGTTGGATATTTTGGTTCAAGCTAAGAAAATATGGAAGTATCAAAATGTTATAAGCACATTGGTGATGAAGACTTTCATATTTGATATTATGAAAACTTGCTGCTTTACTTTCCAAACTGTACTCAAAACTCAAAAGATACATATTGGACATTTATGCTGATTCATTCTATATTCTATCCTTGTACATGTTATACATAAGCACATAGTAAAGAAGTGGTCATATGTCTGTGTGCAGACCTGAATAAACATGCATTATGATTTTTTGGTGTTGATTTGACCTTGTTTCTAGGTGTAAATTATTGTATCATTGGGTATACCCTTTCTTTATATATCATAGTCATTGTCTTATGACAGGGAACTCTATGGCAACAACATTAGTGGACCAATTCCTAGTGATATTGGGAATCTAACAAACTTGGTGAGCTTGGATCTTTACTTGAACAGTTTCACTGGTCCTATTCCAGACACACTGGGCAAACTGACAAAACTGCGTTTCCTGTATGAATATACATCCTTTACCCTGTACTATGCTATTGTTTTTTCTTTTATATTTTGGTACTTTGTTTTGTATAAATTTTACTTAACAACTCTCCAAAAACTTAATTGTGTTTATGTATTCCTGGCACCACCATTATGCAGAACTTTCCCATAAGCAACAGTATAAAGGGAGCCCCAAAGATTTTATTTATTTTGGGGGTGGGGGGTATTAATTCTCTCCATATGATACTGTTTTGAATCAATGATAGAGCATCAATTTGCTTTTACTAGTTGTTGGTTTAGATACTCTACAAAAACTATAAAACTAATAATGTCTTGTTGACAGGACGACTATTTGCTAATTGATTTGAACATCTGCATTCTAGAAAATTCTTTTTCCTTATCAGCCTAGCGGAATAAAAAGTTAATTTGATCTTGATATCCAGGGTGTTAGAGAATTCATGTTATGTAGTTATGATGAATGAGTGATAGAACATCAGGGAACTATTGACTTCACTATTATTAGATTCAGATGTACTCAAGAATGGTAAAAAATAAAAATGATTATTTTGTTGCCTTTATAAGGCTGTTTGCTGATCGACATGGATCATCCTTTTATTAGATTTCCTTTGTCACCTAGCATTTTTTCATAAACAAAAATTAGTTTGAGCATGATAATTATTTAAGTCAGAAAAATTCCAAGTACTTAATATTAACGAGGAATTATTGCAGATTTCATTTACTTCAAGCATCAAGCAACATGGAAGATGAAATAGTTACATAAGGAATTTGAGCCTGATTGATATGATTTCTGATATTTCTTTTTTGGATGATTTTATGAGTTTTATTATTGGTCAAAATAGATATTCTTTTATTAATTGCTATTGGGCTCATGTTCTACCATTTTTCTTTCTGAAACTTCATTAATATTTACCTTAAGTTATTATCTGCTTTTGTATTTGTTATGGGTGCTAACTCTTGCTGGGTTGTATAGTTAGACATGAAAAACACGAGAATGGAATTTAACGTTATTTTTTCTTGGTATTCTATGTAAGGATAGTCGACTCAACAACAATAGCCTGTCAGGTTCAATTCCTATCTCCTTGATTAATATTACTGCCCTGCAAGTCTTGTAAGTTAATCAATAATTTAAACTTTCTTCTCTTTCCTCTTCTGCCATCAGCTTTATCTTGGTTATAATGATGGTATGTTGACATTTTATAATGTTGGTGGCAGGGACTTATCAAACAATCGCCTATCAGGGCCTGTACCAGATAATGGATCCTTTTCACTATTTACTCCCATAAGGTTTTCCTGCTTACAATTAGAACTCAATATATCTAATTTGACTCCTTATAATTAGAACAGTATATATCTTCTTTGACTAGTATGGACCAATTAGTTAATTGTTGATTAACCCTTTTGCAGTTTTGCAAATAACTTGGATCTATGTGGGCCGGTTACTGGAAAGCCTTGCCCTGGATCTCCTCCGTTTTCTCCGCCGCCTCCCTTTGTTCCAACACCAACTGCTCCTTATCCTGGTACTCTCTTATACCAATAATATAAAAGATCTTGGTCTTATTAATGCAGTACTGGACTGATTCGTTAATCTGTAGCCCAATTTTTCTTTGGATAAACATGCAAAGATATAGATATTTTAATGATAATCAACCTGGATAACGAAATTGTAACAGTTACTGTTTTACTACTAGCTGTAGGCTGACTGGGAGTGGAAATTACACAAAAAGCATTAGAAAATACAACAAAGTTCACATGTTTTCCTAGGAAAATCTAGTCGCTTGATTGGGAAGTGGAATTCACTCTTGAAATAGTGGTTTGCTTTGCTGTTTGTTGAAATCTGTATGAAAGGGAAACTTTCTGTGATAATGATATACATGAGATGGCTTATCTATCTTATCATTTCAGGAGAAAGTAATCCCACTGGAGCAATTGCTGCCGGAGTGGCTGTTGGTGCTGCTTTACTTTTTGCTGCTCCTGCTATTTGGTTTGCATATTGGAAGCGAAGGCAGCCGCCTGAACTTTTCTTTGATGTACCTGGTTTGTATTTCGCATTTGACATAAATATTCTTAGACGTTTGTAGCTAGAATGTCCTTTTGACTTTGTAATTTATCATCAGGCGAAGAGGATCCTGAGGTCCACTTGGGACAGCTTAAAAGGTTTTCTTTGCGGGAACTGCAAGTTGCAACAGACGGTTTTAGCAACAAGAACATCCTGGGCAGAGGTGGATTTGGTAAGGTGTATAAGGGAAGGTTGGCTGATGGCACTCTGGTGGCTGTAAAAAGACTTAAAGAGGAGCGGACACCAGGCGGGGAATTGCAATTTCAAACAGAGGTGGAAATGATCAGCATGGCGGTGCATAGGAATCTTCTAAGATTGCGTGGTTTTTGCATGACACCAACTGAGCGACTGCTTGTTTATCCATACATGGCTAATGGAAGTGTTGCATCATGTCTAAGAGGTACTGCTTATTGGCTTTTGCTTGAATTTAGCTCGACTTACAGATAAAATGTCTGAGGTGGCACTGCTTATCTTTGCCCAAAACAAATATTCCATTAAAGAAAAAGGCTATGCTATAAGGAAAACTGTCTCATGTGAGTTTGGGGCAAAAAGAATATATTTTTTCAAAATTGTTTCTGTGTTTCAAACTTCAGCTATGGCATGGAGTTTTTGCATCAAAGGGTAGCAATTGGTGCTGTTTGATTTTTCTTTCTTCCTTTCTTTTTTTTTTTTTTTTTTTTAATATTAACGTTTGTTGAGAAAGAGGAAAAAGGGGGGGGGTTTGTGGGTGGATAATTTACAACTGTAAAAACAGAGTATTATTAGGGCAATAAAGCTGTAATGCGGCCAAGTTCAGGGGGGGGGGGGGTTGGTGGATAATTTAGCAACTGTAAAACAGAGTATTATAGGGCATAAAGGCTGTAATGGGCCAAGTCACCTCTGAGTTTGAAATTTATGAAAAAAATATTTCTTTGTTATGCTCAACCGGAGGACATGTGATATCTTTTACTTATTCTTATAGAACGTCCACCGTTGGAACCTCCTCTTGATTGGCCAACAAGGAAGAGAATTGCATTGGGTTCTGCAAGGGGCCTTTCTTATTTACATGATCATTGTGATCCAAAAATTATTCATCGTGATGTGAAAGCTGCAAATATACTGTTGGATGAAGAGTTTGAGGCTGTTGTTGGTGATTTTGGGCTGGCTAAGCTAATGGACTACAAAGATACCCATGTAACAACTGCAGTGCGTGGGACCATTGGGCATATAGCTCCAGAATATCTATCTACTGGAAAATCATCTGAGAAAACTGATGTTTTTGGTTATGGAATCATGCTTTTAGAGCTGATTACTGGACAGAGAGCGTTCGATCTGGCAAGGCTTGCAAATGATGATGATGTTATGCTGCTTGATTGGGTAATGCACTGACAAACTTTCTACATGTTATTTCTCAGATGCTTTCTTATTTGATCTTGCCACATTATTGTAATGGAGTCTCTTTCCCAATTATTGCTGATTTTGCCAACTTAGATAATGGCTATTGTGAGAGCAGATATTGGCTATTACAGATAATTGTATAGATTTATATTTGTCCTGTTACATATAATGGATAGATATATAATGGCTTTGATCAACAATGAAAAGTGACCTTCCTTTTTCTCCAATTTTTTCTATTTACTTGTTCTGTTTCTGCCAATCATTTACTCATTGATGCAGCTGTTGATTTGTTTAATTTGTTGACTTTTTCTCAAGTGTGCATTTTCCAAACATTGTCAAGTCAATTAGAGATGATAGTTGTTTGGTATCTCCTCTATCTTCGAGCTTGATATTTTCTTTTTTATGTGCTTTGATTGGCAACTATCCTTTTCATCTAATCAGCAATTCTAACTTTTAGTGAGATCTAATGGCAAAACTAAGGGCATAGTTTGAATGCATAAACTGTAGTTTGAGGCTGAACTTGGGAGGGTATGGAGGCTTGTTTGGTAGGCTCGTATTGACATTTAAATATCATTAAGGCATAATTTTATCATCTGAACTGGATCATTCAAAAGTAGTTGGTGCGTGATGATTTAGTATTAACTGTGTGAATTGCTTATGAAAATGCCTATAATTTATGGTGTAGTCTTCCTTTTCTCTCTCTAGTGGTGATGGCTGGCACATTTGGACCATCCCGTAAATTGTGAGGGATTTGTTACATATTTATGTAAATAACTCAAGTAACCAATTCATTAATCATGAGGTACCCAAATGAGTCTTGGCTACATTTGACCTTCCTGATAATTTGTTCCAGTCTTGTTTATATATTTTTAGAATTATTTAGTTTTACTTTAGTCGAAAACGATACTAGTAGTGGATTTGCAGGCTATGCACATTGCAATACTAATAAATCAGTGATTGTATTTCTTCTTAAGAGTCTTGTAGCTTTTCATGTCACTCTGATTTAGTAATACACTTCTTGCAGAATATCCTCATGCTTCTGCTGCACCTTTCTATGCCATTCCATGTAATTAACTACTCTGCAAATTTTGCAGGTAAAAGCTCTTCTAAAAGAGAAAAAGTTGGAAATGCTGGTTGATCCCGACCTGCAGAACAACTACATTGACACTGAAGTAGAACAACTAATCCAAGTAGCATTGTTATGCACCCAAGGCTCTCCAATGGAACGGCCTAAGATGTCAGAGGTTGTGAGAATGCTTGAAGGTGATGGACTAGCAGAAAGATGGGAGGAGTGGCAAAAGGTTGAAGTGGTCCGCCAAGAGGCTGATTTGGCCCCATCACGAAGCTCCGAATGGATACTTGACTCCACTGAGAATCTCCATGCTGTAGAATTGTCAGGTCCAAGATGACGCTACCGGAGTGATACATCAGAAAATTCTCATTTGCTCTTTCTGTGTCTTTTGGATATCATTTTCTTGCAGTTATTGGTTCATCATTAAAATCATTATAATCCAAGTTGAAACTTTATAATTTTGTGTATATCAATGTACCTAATAGTGATTGCCTAATTCTCCTTAATTTTGTAATATTTTACGTACTTTAATAGCAAAAATTTATATGTATGCTGAGCAGTGAAAAAGTATCCTTTTGTCTGTGTTTATGTTCTTTTAAATTTATTATGCATTAATATTATTGCCTAGGTTGCTTATAGCAGTGCTGCGAGCAGTGAAAAAGTATCCTTTTGTCTGTGTTTATGTTCTTTTAAATTTATTATGCATTAATATTATTGCCTAGGTTGCTTATAGCAGTGCTGCGAGCAGTGAAAAAGTATCCTTTTGTCTGTGTTTATGTTCTTTTAAATTTATTATGCATTAATATTATTGCCTAGGTTGCTTATAGCAGTGCTGCGAGCAGTGAAAAAGTATCCTTTTGTCTGTGTTTATGTTCTTTTAAATTTATTATGCATTAATATTATTGCCTAGGTTGCTTATAGCAGTGCTGCGAGCAGTGAAAAAGTATCCTTTTGTCTGTGTTTATGTTCTTTTAAATTTATTATGCATTAATATTATTGCCTAGGTTGCTTATAGCAGTGCTGCGAGCAGTGAAAAAGTATCCTTTTGTCTGTGTAATGTGAAAACAAACCCTGGTGGAAACGAGCATGATTATAAGCCGCTCTTGCTAGAGAAGGAGTGCCCATAATCACTCATAATTCATCTAACTGCCATATTAGGCCTACTTACAAATTATCCTTACAATCTTTGATAATAATACCAAATTCTGAATAATCTAGAGAAGAGGAAAAAAGAGCAAATAAAATTCCTTGCGCATCTGTGTATACGCACCTAGCAGAGGGCATAATGTCCTTTAACCAAGCTAGAGTAGAACGAAAAGCAATGGCCTTGATGAGGAGAGCTTTTCTATGACTATCAACGAAAGCGGAAGCGCTCTGAGGAAAGTCCCCTCTGCATCTTCCACTACAACGCCGAAGCCCCCAAGATGCAGGTCATGGAACACAGCCCCATCCGTAAATGCTTGCCACCCATTTGGTGTTGTTGTACACCCACTGAGGAACTGAGGGACCAGATGTAGAAAGGGGGTGCGGCGTTTGCCTCCAAGAGACACCATGGATCTGCTGCCAGTTAGAGAGAATGTGTGACGCTTGGGCTGAGATTTGAGAACCTGTTTTGGATTCTTGTCTCCGTATGAAATTGTTTCGCGCCTCCCATAATGCCCATGCAAGAGTAGCGACGTGATATGCTTTTGAAGCCTGGTTTGCACCTTGAACCTGTATAAAAAATTGCTTAAAAGACAAAACATTAGCAGGGACAGTTTACCCATTTATAACCCACACCATTTTAGCATTCCTACACGTCAGAAGGACATGATCAATGCTCTCAAGTCTCATCCTCCCCACAGTAACAACAATTCGTGGCTACTCTCACCCCTCTTTGATTTAGATTCACTCTTGTAGGAATAATGCCACGAAGGGCTCGCCAACGGAACTCTCTTATTCTTGGTGGTATTTTCAAGTACCAAATCTCCCTCCACAACCTCTTCCCCTCGATACTTCAAAAGCCTATAATAGAGTAAATTGGAACTTTCTTAGGCATATGATGCTTGCTTTGGGGTTTGACAATAAATGGGTTAACTGGATGATGCTCTGTGTTTCCACGGTTAGATATTCTGTGTTGTGTAATGGTGATGAGGTGGGACCCATAATTCCTGAGAGAGGGCTAAGACAAGGGACCCTCTTTCCCTTTATTTTTTTATTCTTTGTTTAGAAGGATTATCCTCGCTTTTCTCCAATGCTGAGGGACAGGGTTGGATCCATGGAGGGAGAGGGTTGGATCCATGGAGGGAGGGTAGGTAGGATTGTCCTGGGATTTCCCATTTGTTATTCATAGATGACTCTATTTTATTTTTAAAAGCCATGGAGGGTGAGGCGAGAAATGTTAAAAATATTTTGATCACTTATGAGTTAGCTTCGGGGCAGGGCAGGCAACTTTCAAAAATCTGGGATTATGTTTAGCTTTAACGTGACTAGTTTGGTGAAAAATGCAGTATCTAATATCTTATAGGTTCATAATCCCATGGCAGGTGGGAAATATTTGGGTTTGCCTACGGTGGTGGGTCATAAAAAGAAGAATATTTTTAGTTACCTCAGGGACATGCTCTAGAATAGATCCATTGCTGGAATAATAAATTCTTGTCTAGAGCAGGTCAGGAAGTTCTTTTAAAATCTGTTGCTCAGGCTATTCCAGCATATTGTATGAGTGTCTTCTTGCTCCCTATCTTCCTTTGTGATGAATTACAAAAGATCATGAAATCATTTTGGTGGGGTTCTAAAGAGGTAGGGGAGAAAGGAGTTCATTGGTTGTCTTTGGGATCAAATATCAGAGGAAGAGGGATGGAGGGATGGGCTTTCGTGACCTTCGGTGTTTTAATATGGCTATGCTAGGGAAGTTTGGGTGGAGATTAATTTTGGAATCCACCACTCTTCTTAGTTGTATTCTCAAAGCTAAATACTTTTCTAATGAAAACTTTCTATCCGCTTCGCTTATAAGCAATCCTAATTTTACATGGAGGAGTGTTCTTTTCTCTAGGGATATGCTTAAACCTGAAAAGGAGTTATATAAGGTTCGATCAGATACTTCTTGACTCATTTTTTTTATTTTTTATTTACATGTAAAAACTGCTCCTTGAATCTCTAATTTTGATTTTTTTTTTATTTGATGCTATTTATTGTTATATATTAGGTTAAGATCCATATTAATTTAAAATGTTCACTATATAAATACTGATATTTCACATTTTTAGTATATAAATTTATATTTTTCCTATGTTAACAAATTTATATATATATATTATATTTTGTACATCAAACAAACTCTTCAAATTGAATTGGGAAGAATTCTTATTGGGCAAAGAGAATTGACTTTAACTTCACCTGTTTGTATAAAATTCTTTGGAACAAGAAAAGAAAGTTGTTTACCCTTAATTTTTCCCTTGAAATATGTATTGGGATAGGAGAGATAAGTACGTAATTCTAATAATTTTCTCTCAACTTTCCTTACAAATTAAGTATATGTTTGGATCGGTGAAAAATTTAGGAGAAATGAAAATTGGGAAAGAAAATAAATAAATTTTATTTCCTTCACTTGTTTGGTAACGAAGAAAACGTGAGAGAAAAGAAAATATGAAACGAAAATAAATATTAAGTCCTGCATGCCATTTTCTCCTAAATTTGGGTGGAAAATAATTACAATTATATTATACTTTTATTAATAAAAAGTAAAGATTAATTTATAATTTTATTATTTATAAAATCATTTTCCCTCATCATGCTCCTCAGATACCCAAACATTTAGAGAACAAATATTCTTTTTATTTTCCTTCAACATTTTCTTTTTTCTTCTTCCCAAACATGGTGTTGAGAAAGTTGATTATCGATCCCACACCTCATTTTTTAAATTATTTTTTAGGTAAAAAAAAAAAAAAAAAACATTTTCTTCTCCCAAACATCGGTGTTGAGAAAGTTGATTATCGATCCCACACCTCATTTTTTTAAATTATTTTTTAGGTAAAAAAAAAAATTAAAAAAAAAAAAAAAAAACATCAAATCCTAAATACAGAGCTTAGAATATTTTACACCAATAATATTATGAGTAATCCAATCATAGATGTTTGAAGGACAATCAGAAAAACCGATCAGCAGAATTATTAGCTTCCCTATAAATGTGGGATCGTACATCTGATTGTTAGATTATTTTAATAATCTGTATGTGGCTCATGTGATTAAAGGGCTGGTTCTAATTAATGTGGCCCAAGATGATGGTTATTGGGCTTAATGGATAAGAGCCAGTTAGAGTTTTAATACCCTTCCTCTGCCTTATAAAAGAATAAAGGAATCAATATATTAGGGTTAACACAAAAACAAGAGAGTGTGACGGCTCCCTCAAACACATACGGAGATAGTTTATTTGAGAGAGCTCATAAAAGAAACTCCCCATAAAAAGAAACTCCCGCAGCTTGTTTGGTTATTCCTCACGACCATTAAGGAATACTTACGGACAAAAGGCCAGAGTTGAAGAAACGTAGATCTGCTGTTACGGTGAGAATCGAATTGTCCCAACGACCGGTAAACCCATAACATAGATCTGCTGTTATGGATTAAGATACGCTTCCGATTGTTGTATTTCTTGTCAAAACAAATTCCTATGAACAATAGATCTGGGCTATAATTAAAGTTTAATTCACATGTGGTATCAGAGCCTGTACCTGTTTAGAATTTGTATGATAGCGTTTTGTTTGGGCTTAATTATGAAAAATAAATTTTCGTATGGTGAAATTGATTTATATGGTATAAGCGAAGCCAAAATTAATAGAAATTTGAAAACTGTTTGTTTTCTTTATGGTCTTTATAAAATTATTTTTGTTAATTATTTATACGAGAATGGTTATAACATATTATTGGGTTTTGTCGTTAAGATTTTGGAAAGATATTAAATTTAATCTCAATAAACGTTTTGCATAAATCAAGTGTTTAATGAATGGAAAAACTTGTTAGTCACCAAAGTGGGCCCTTGTTTGGATTGTTTTAGACATTGCATTATGCAAGTTTTAATTGTTTCATATTTGTGTGGATGCGTTATATGACATGCAAGTAAAATTGAACAATTGAGCTCGTTGATTATAATTTGTTAGGTTACCCAAAGGTAGACCATTAATTATGATCAATGGCATTAAAGAGACTTATCATTGGACGAATTAATATGAATGTATATCCAAAGATAACATGCATATTGTATGGAGCATTATTAAATGGTTGAATGGAATAAAAAAAATAACTGGATTGCAGAAAGGAGCACGGGCGTGCTGCAATGAGCACGGGCGTGCTTCTCTCTGACTTGCATAAAGGCTCGCAAGTTGCTCCAAAATGAAAGTCTATTAAAGTATTTTTCTTCTTGGCATCATTAAATTATTGATTAAAGCTATGCATTTAAATATTACCCAAAAGGTGAATCTAGATGCATAATTAAAGTTGTTATTTGTTATCCATTTTAATGTTTACTCAAGCATTAAACGTATGAGTATATGTGTAATGTTGCAAGCTTCCTTTAACATGTTTGCTCTTGGCCTGGG